TAGTATAGATTTTCTAGAATGTAAACACCATGAGGCCAGGGTTCAAGTGTTAAACAGTTGTGGAAGGAAGGAAGGAAGGAAGGAAGGCAGGCAGGCAGGCAGGCACAAATGAATGAACGAATCTAATCAAAGGTTGTGAGAGGCAGAGTTTCTGAGCAGGGAGAGAGGAGGGAGCCCTCTTACCCCTGCCCCTCCTGAACGTGCTCTCTCCTCTTCCTTCCTCCTACCACATCTGAGTCAGGTCTCAGCTTTTGTCATCAGGTCCTGCCCCAGCTCTCAGGGCGCAGGCTCTCCTCTACCCTGTAGTCAACCCACCCCTCCAAGCAGCTAGACCCCTTGTGGTCACTCCCCACGACCTGCACTTCAAGGGACTTCTCAATCCACCTGCTCCTCTGCTTTCCTCTCCCATAAGTCCTATTTTTCACCCTCCACACCTTATGTTCCTCCAACAATGGTTGTGGTCACATTTACTGAGCACTTCCTGTATGTCCTTTTACATGGGTCATGCTGAAGTCTTGCAGCGAACTACAAGATCTACGAGAGTTATTATTATCCTTATTTTATAGATGAGGAAACCAAGACCAGAGACATTCAGGAGCTTATCCAAAGTCGACCAGCTAGCAGATGATAGAATTGGGATTCAGAACTCACTCAGTCTGGCCCCCGGGGCCGCGGTGCCTCACTGGTGTCGTAGAGCTAACTAGTTACCAGTCTTGGAGGGTGCGATGCTCCCTCAAGCTCCCTGCCCTTTGCTCATGATGGCCCCTTCTGGAGGGCTCTCCTGTCTACCTTCCTCTACTTGCCAAACGTTTTGCTCATCCTTCAAAGTCTTGCTTGTAAGTCACCCCCTCTGCAAAGCCTTTTCTGTTTTCCCTAGGAAGAGCTAGTTGCTCGCTCTTCAGTTTCACAATTGAGAACTTTATGCTGTAATTATTTAGGGACCTGTCTCCCCCATCAAGCCGTAAGCACCCCCCCCACCCCTGCCAGGGGACAGGGCTTGTTCTATATCTCCCTCTTGTCTAGCACAATGCCTGGTACAGAGTGCATGCTCTCGAAACATATGGTGACCAAAGGACAGTGGCCTGAGGACTCCTCCCAACACTCTTTTGTGAAGGTCTGCTAGGAGTCTCTGGTGGGAAGCTGGGAGAGTGTAGGAAGTTGCAGGGCCCAAAATGAAAAGAGTCACCACTGTAAGGGGCAGCTGGAGACAATTTCACTAATGTCACCATTTGACCATGGATCAAAACTGTCCCCTCGAGATCTAGCTGGTAGGGAAGTCCCATCCTTATACCACCTCTAGAGGTTTTTGGGAAGCAGCTGTCCAACCGCCTGTGGTTCCCCCCCTCTTGCAGTGCCAGGAATGAAACCATAATGAGAAGTGATCCTGGAAACTACAGGAAGAAGTGTGGCCAGACTCCTCATGCTGAGAGCCTGGACTGCCCCCACACAGGGCTCTTTGGACCTCAGAAACCAAGAGGTTACACAGCTTTGGTAAGAAGGTAGTTCCTGGATGGGTGGGGACTTCCTGGGGTGTGAGGGAAATTGCTCCATCCCTGGAACTATGGGGTAAGAACTGTCCCAGTGACTCTCAGCGGCCCTGTGCTATGTTTCTCCCTCTGTGTCTGTCTCACGCAGGAACTTACTAAAGTTCCCCATAGTCTCAGGACAAATGCCTAAGCCTGTGGTCACTACATCCCAAAAGTTGGTGGACAGGATAGCAGAGCAGTTAGGACTATGGGATCCGGGGTTGGCCAGATATGGGTCCAAATCCCAACTCACTGTGTGACCTTGGGTCTTTCACTACTTCACTTCCTTAAGCTCCAGTTCCCTCATCTGTAAAATGAAGATAAATAAATTTTAAAACATCAATTAAGGATTTGTTCAATGGAGCAAATTTGTTCAAAAGGAAGGCACAACGGGCCAGTGATTTGCAAAGTGTGTTCCCCGGACCATCAGGTACTTGAGTACTTGTTCGAAATGTAGAATCTCCAGCCTCAGGCCTGCTCTATTGAGCCAGAAACTCCGGGGCGTGGCTCAGCGATCTGTGTTTTAGCAAGCCTTACAGAAGATTCTGGTGCATGGTAAAGTTTGAGAACCACTGCCACAGACAAACCGGACGTGAGCAACATATTGGGGATGATATTGGGAACATCAACAACCAACGAGGCATTAATATCTAAAATTTACAAGTTACTTCTGCAAATTGACAAGAAAAAGATAGGAAACCCAATAGCTAACGGGCCCAAGACAGGAATGGGCAGTTCACTGAAGGCAAAGCCCAAAACCCGACAAGTATAGGAGAAGATTCTGAATCTCATATAATCAGAGAAATTCAAACAATGAGATGCCACCTTACACCCAAACTATAGGCAAAAATTACAGTCAGATAATGTAAGAGCTAATGAAAATGTGGGGAGACAAGCATCTTTCACATGCCATTAATAGGATTTAGTGACTTTTTTTTTAAGATTTTATTTATTTATTTGACAGACAGAGATCACAAGTAGGCAGAGAGGCAGGCAGAGAGAGAGGAAGAAGCAGGTTCCCTGCGGAGCAGAGAGCCCGATGCGGGACTGGATCCCAGGACCCTGAGATCATGACCTGAGCCGAAGGCAGTGGCTTAACCCACTGAGCCACCCAGGCGCCCGATTTAGTGACATTTAAAACATATATGTGTTCCGCTAATTCCACTCGGGTATAGGGTCCAAAGAAGTTTTCACATAGGCCCATAGGGTCATGTTCAAAGCTGTTCATCACAGTGTTGTTTGTGATGAAAGGAAGTTGGAAGCCATCTGGTTGTCCATCATTGGGGTGGGGGAGGGAATAATTAAAACCATGGATGCTCAACTTGGAATGCTTTGCAGCAATTTGATGCAATAAGCTAGACTTTCCCACAGCAACGTGGGTCTATCTTTTTTTTTTAAAGATTTTTTATTTATTAATTTGACAGAGATCACAAGTAGGCAGAGAGGCAGGCAGAGAGAGAGAGAGAGAGAGAGGAGGAAGCAGGCTCCCTGCTGAGGAGAGAGCCCGATACGTGGCTCGATTCCAGGATCCTGAGATCATGACCTGAGCTGAAGGCAGAGGCTTAACCCACTGAGCCACCCAGGCACCCCAATGTGGGTCTATCTTAAATATCTTTCTTAAATATCATATGATGGAGTGAAAAAAGGGGAAGCAATGGAATTAGATTTTTCACACAACACCATTCATGTAGTGTAAATATACACACAAAGCGTTGTGTGTACCATGTTCAGGGACACATATCAACACGTAGGGTGGGTGTGCACTGTGGGGAGGGGAAGGAGTGTGGGGAATGAGGGGTGAATTAAAGCAAAACAAAACATCAGAGGGCGTTGAAGGACTAATTACGATGGGATGGCCATTTGCTACAAACCGAGGATAAATCATGGAACTCTGGACCTAAAGCCCTAATAATATTACTTTAAAATTGTGATCATTGTACCTGCCTCACGGTGAGTACCATGTGTCTGGCCGTGGAAGGCTCTGTGAAGTTTTACAAATAAATTTTTGCAGTTCTGTGTGAGTCTCTGGTCTCCTCTCAGGGCTTTTACTTTACTTTTACTTGTTGTCCTTACGCTGACTTCTCTGCCTCTCCAACCTTGCCATCAGGTTTCTTCAGCTACCCTGGACTCCCGGGATGGTAGCTTGTGGAGTCTGGGGGACTTTTCATCTGGGGCTTGAGCCCAGAGCCAGGGTGCAACCGAGCCGTGGGGAACAAGTCCTATTTCCTCTTCACAAACTTCCCCAAGGGTCTTCTTACAGCCCATCCTCTCCTCAGTTCCTACCCCACTGCTCCCAGGTAAGACAGGCAGGACCAAGTCTGAAAGTATTAGGTGTGGAAGGGAACAGCTTTTATTGGGTGCCTATCAGGTGCTGGACCCAGCCCCAAGACCTTGACTTTTGTTAGTCCCCAGAACCACCCTGAGAAGTGGGAGGCGCCCACCTCATCCGACAGATTAGGGAATGGAAGTCACCCAGAGGTGAGAACACTAACCAGACAGGAGCCCTAGGTCTGTCTGGCTCCAAATCCAAGATCTAAACAAGCAACTCCTTCAGAGTTTTAGGACCAGGACTGGGACCCCAATCATCTACTTCTGACTCAACCAACGGCCAGGAGAGAAAAACCTCTGTTTCACACTGATGATCTAATTCCTGCTATCAGGGGAGGGGCGACCCTGACGCTTAGAGTCCTAAGAAGACCCTCGACGCTATTTCGTATGGTTAGCTTGAGGTAATCTCTAAGGAGAAATAGGAGATTCCCCTAAGTTCCTTCCCATTATTTGAACCTTAATTTCTCAAACTGTGAAAGAGGAAGAACTGCCTGGGCTCTGGGGCTTCCTTTCTCAGTCTGCCAGCAGGTGGAGCCCACCCTTCATCCCTCCCTTGGCCTCCAGAAAGTTGCGGTAGTGGGAGGGGAGGGAGGGAAGATGAGCGGTCCTGGGGCCGCGCCTGGGGCTAGCGGGACAAAGTGGGGCGCTGCCCATCCTGGTCTGGCAGAGCGGCCCGCTGAGCCTCCGGCGACTGCCCGAGACTTTAGGGCCCCGCCCCCTGCAGGACATCCTTGGTACTGCAGGGACTGGAGCCCCGAGGGCAGGGACGGACACCCTAGGGGAGTGGAGGTCCGCGTCGGGTGCGAGGGGGTCCCTGGGCCCGGGGTCTCACAAGCAGGAGCCAGTGAGACGCAGCCGGGATTGCGGCCCCACCGTCCCCTTCGTCTGCGGCTACAGGTAGTTTTCCTCCGCCGCGTCCCCCCCACCCGGGGAGTCCCTGGCCTCCTCGTCCGTGCTTTCATCATCGTCGGGGGCCAGCGCCTCGATGTCGTGCGTGATGTCGGCCAGCAGCCGGTGGAAGGCCTGCGCCTCCGGCCGCTGGGCCGCGCCGTCGTAGCTGCGCACAGCCGACGCCGACGTGGAGCTCATGCTGCGCTTGATGCGGCCGAAGCTGTCGGTGAGGATGCCGCCCTCGCGGATGCCCACGCCCTCCAGGAAGCCCTCGAAGTAGCCGATGTCCTGGTCGGGGATGAAGGGCCGCATCCCTGCGGGGCCGAGAGGCAGGGGGTACTCCTCGAGGTTCAGCCCTCCCCCTCCCACATCGGAGCCACCTTCTGCAGAGATCTGAGTTCAAATCCCTGCTCCGCCCGCTGGCTGGTGGCTTTGCTCAAATTCCTCACCTCTGCGCCAGAGCATAATGACCTAATGCTCCGCACAGAGTAAACACTCAATAGAGGTTAGCTTGTCGTTGTGACTGTAACGGTTACATCCCCATTTATTAGTTTTGTGACCCTCATTAAATAGCTATTCTGGGCTTTACTTTCCTCGCCTGTAAAACTCAGATAATCGCACCAGTTCTCGCGGTAGGGTTGTGAGGAGGTGTCTGGCACACACTGAGGGTCCCAGACAAGTCAGCTCGTTTTGCCTCCATCTCTACTCATTAGCCATGTGACTTCAGTACTTTGCTTCTCTGAGCCTCAGTGTCCTCATCTGCAATATGGGGGCAATAAGTTTCCATTTTCCAAAACTGACGCATTCAAGGAGGGTAACTGCGAAATGCCTGTTAGCTTATTAGTATTATCATTCCTGATGCTATTATTAGCCTTCCTTACCAGCAGCGTGAACTTGGACAAGTTCCTTAGCCTCTGCGAGCCTCAGCTGCCTGTGGGGTGGATGGGGAGAATCACTTCCTCGCCCAGTTTTGCAATGAAGGTGAATGGTTATACTAATGCTCTCTTCTTATGTGCCGTGACAGCAAGCACATCTCTCTTCCACTCTGCCCCTTTCTCCTCCCTGAGATGGATTTCACGATCTTGGCTTTATTGGAGGCTGAAGAATAGGAGTGAACACGTCTAGCCTGATGCCTGATTGGGAATGTCATGGACTATGTAGGGGCCTTAGCTGACCTTGGGGGGGTTTGGGGTGGGCTCACCAAGGAGGAGGAACTTGCGCCGGTCTCCATAGAGCTTCAGCAGGCCTGCACAGTAGTCCTGGATGGGCAGCCCCAGCCGGTACTCCCGCAGCAGCATCGCAAACTGCTGGATCTCAAGAGGTCCCAGTTTACTCCGCAACTGCAGGGACAAGATTCAAGATTAGTCCCAGGGAGCAACCCCCACCCAACCTCTGCCTAAAAGACCCAAAGCCCTCTGTAAGGCTATATTTGGCCAAGACTTCCCTTGAAACCTTCCCATGGCCTATTGGGGAGGGGGGCATCCAGATCGTCTGGGCTGCATGTAAGCATGGATGTGGACTCGAGCTACCTGAGTTCACATCCTGGCCCCTTGGTCAGCTCTGTGGTCTTGGGTAGGTGACAACTTCCCTGACCCTTACTTTTCTTATATATAATGAGGATAATGGTGGCACTTCCCACCTTGGTTATTGAAATTTAAAAAAAAATGCATAAAGGGTGCACAGAACAGTGCCTGGTATACAGCAAACACTCAATTAATGCTAGCTGACACTTGTTAAGGCTTTCACAAGCTGGCCTCTGTTTACTTTCCTAACCTCATGTCCCGCCCTGATCTTCAACATCGGCTTCAATTATGTCCAGGATTATTCATGATTCCTGAAATGCTCCCTGTGATTTCTCCAGTCTCCAGGCCTCTGTTTGTGCTGTTCGCATTGCCTGCCCCAGCTCACCGTAACCATGTAATCTTGCAACTGCTCGAGGCCCGGGCCGCTGTGGTCACTGCCGCTGCAGTGGGAGCCATGGAAAGAGGGTGTGGACGTGCCACTATAACACGCTTCAAATGTATCCTGGGAGCCATTACTGCAAAGAGAGGCAGAAAGGGGAGCCCTCATTCACCTCCCTCCAGCTCCTCTCAGGTGGAGGTGGGAAGGCAAAGCTACCGATGCTCTGGGCCTGAGGCCTCATCCTAGATCCCATTTTGGCCTCTAGGGCCACACATTATCTGGCCCTGAGTCTCCCTGCTGCCTTACTGCACCCTCACTTTGCGTGTTCAGGCCACTCTGCCTTCTCTCTACTCCTCTAGGACTCCAAGTACCTCTTCACCTCTGGGCCTTTGCACATGCCATTCCCTCTGCCTGAAATGCCTCTCTCCCCCTGTCTTTTGCTCAACTAACTCCTACTCATCACTGGGGCTTAAATGTCACCTTCTCAACAACATTTTCCCTGACCCCCCCTCCCGATAACTGGGTTAAATCCTCTGTCAAATGTGGTCACAAACCCATAAGTCCAATCATGACATGTGAGGCCTTTCCAGATCCCCCAATCAATGTCCACAGTGGCCTCTTGGCTGCTGTGCACCAAGCTTCATCCTGCTTCAGAACCCTTGCACTGTCTGCCCTCTGCCTAGGGTGCTCTTCCCTTTTCCTCCTTTGGGTCTCAGTTCAAGTGGCATCAGCTCTGAGAGGCCCTCCTAACTCCCCAGATGTGGAAGGCTCCCATGGCCTCTCTCTCAGCATCCTGAGGTGCTTATGCTCTTTCATGCTTACCATTAATGCTTATTTCTATTAAATCATGATTTCATCATCTTCTGTGTCAGACACTCTAACTGCACTTGCGCCATAAACCATGCAAGGGAAGAACCTTGGTTTCTTCGTCTGTTAAGTACCTGTTCAGTGCCAAGCACAGGTCTCATCCTTGTCTGGCTCCCCACTGTAACCCTAGCACACAGCAGTCTCTGGTGCAGGAAAGATACTCAAGAAATCTTGCTTAATAAAAATTCAACCTGGGGCACCTGAGTGGCTCAGTCAGTTAAGCCACCAGCTCTTAATTTCAGCTCAGGGCATGATCTCACGGTTGTGGGATGGAACCCCTCATCAGGCTCCAAGCTCAGCCTGGAGTCTGCTTGGGATTCTTTTTTTTTTTTTTCCCCAAAGATTTTTATTTATTTATTTGACAGACAGAGATCACAAGTAGGCAGAGAGGCAGGCAGAGAGAGGGGAGGAAGCAGGCTCCCTGCTGAGCAGAGAGCCCGATGTGGGGCTCGATCCCAGGACCCTGAGATCATGACCTGAGCTGAAGGCAGAGGCTTTAACCCACTGGGCCACCCAGGCGCCCCTGCTTGGGATTCTCTCCCTCCCTCTCCTTCTGCCCCTCCCCCTGCTTGTGTGCTCTGTCTCTCTTTCAAAATAAATAAATAAAATCTTTTTTAAAATAAAAGATTTAAAAGATTCTCTACCCCCTGCTCTCTCTCTCAAAAAAAAAAAGTTAACCTGCCTCCTGTTTTCTAAATTGTTCCTGAACCATCTTGCATTATTACCTCCAGAAAAGTAGTGTGGCATAGTGGTTAAGGGATGTGGACCTGGAGCTAGCCTGCTCAGGTTCAAATCTCAGGCTTACAACTTACTAGCTGTTTGACCCTGGGCAAGCTGCTTAGCTTCTCTATTCTTCAGTTTTTCCATCTGTGAAATGGGATGACAAAAATTGCTGTCACAAGAACTAGAGGAGTCTGTACAGCACCTGGAGTCATGGACTATAAGCAGTAAATGAACAATAGCCACTATAATGTTGCTACATGCGTTTTTTAAAAAAAAATGCAGTGCTTGGGGCACCTGGCTGGCTCAGTTGGTAGAGCACGTGACTCTTGATCTTGGGGTGGTGAATTCAAGCCCCATATTGGCGGTAGAGTTTATTTTTTTTTTTAAATGAAGTGCTTTATAGAACAGCACTAGGCACACAGCAAGCTCAAAGGTTAGCCGTTATCATGATTGCCATCTCTCCGGCAGATACCAGGTTGTTTAAGGACTGGCCCAAGTGCACACAGTATTAAGAAGGTGAATATATTGCCGCCAAAGGCGGGGGAGGGGAGGTCAGGCATATATTACAGGCAGAGATTGCTACCAGTCAAGCCTAAGGCCTTAGTAACAGAACCAGCATGACCAACTTGTCCCCCAGTTTGCCTGGGACTTCCCTGGTGTTAGTACTGAAATTCCCATGTCCAGGGAATGCCCTCAAGGCTGGAAGGGCTGGGGGGCAGGGGGGCAGGGGGCAGGCTGGTCACACTAAACAGAACCCTGAACAATGTTCCTGGGTGAGTTTGTTATGTTGCACTTTCCAGCCTTGCTGGCCGCTAGTGGTGGCCACGTGACCAAGTTCTGGCCAATGAGACATAAGCAGATGTTGTCAGGTGGGACTCCCCGCAAAGCTCTTTACTGAGGCCCCTGGCAGGACACTGTGATGACAGGAGCTTTGACCATCATCTTGGTCCATGAGGTGACTTTGAGGATGGGAACAAGTGCTAAGGAGGGGAGAGAAGAGAGGCCTGGACCCCTGCTGACCATAAGGCCATAAACGCCTGATCTATTTTATATAAGAGACAAGGTGGAAAAAAAGCTATCTTGTTTAAAGCTCTACCTTTCTTAGGGTTTTCTATCACATGGAATTAAAACTAAAGTAAACCCAAGTCATTTTTTGGTATTAGGGCTCTGCAGGCCACTATGTCTGGAAGATGAGCAGAGAACTACAGGCCTACGTGGGCCCTGTTCTGGGTTCTGGTCCTCCCCTGGGCCTCTCAGAGTCTTGGTTTGGATCCTCTGAGCTAACTAAAGCCCAGAGGGATCGGTTTACCTACCCCCCACCCTCAGAGTCCAGGGTGTCAACACAAATCGAGGTGGGGTCATTTTCTCCCACCCTCTCTTGCCCACAAGGGGCATAAGAATGCCCAGAAGAGTAACCTTAATTGTGCAGGGATGGGGTGGGGCAGGACGGTACCCACAAGGAGCTGCAGCAGCTGAAGTCGGCGTCATAGGCGTAAGTCCCATCCGTGCGGCAGCTCTCACCTGGGGTCAGCAGACAGGGTGGCTGTCAGAGGCCGCAGACCAGGGACCGACATCCCCGGCTCCCTAAGGCCCCAACCTCAGCCCCTCCCTGCAGTTGGGCTGGTGGCTGGAGCATGGATGGCCTTGTAAGCAACCGTAAGGGTATTAGCTTTTACCCTGAGTGAAATCAGGCAGCGGCTGGAAGATTCTGACCATGATTCCTACCTCCACCACCAACACACAGACAGCCTTTGCGGGGCAATTCACCCCCTCTCCTCGCCCTCAACTTCCCCAAGGCTGGGACAACACCACCTTCCTGCCTGCCTCACAGGGGTCTTGGGAATAGCAGGTAAGGTAACAGGTGAGGTAATGTTTTGAAAACTGTTTGAGGCAAGAAAAAGAAAAAGAACTTTGAGGGAAAGAACCCCAAATCTTGAGAGGATAGAAGCACTATTTACTGAGAACTTGCCCTCTACCTAGGCCTGTTACTCTCTGAATCCACTAGCCTTACCCTTCGGATCTTGGCTCACTCAGTGTCACTTCCTCAGGAAGTGACTTCCCAGGTGAGGCGGGTTCCTCAGTCTGTGTTCTCAGAGTACAATGTGTGGCTACATTTTATTTATGCAACTATTTAATTACTGTGGGCCTACCACAGCAATGCAAGCCTTGTGAGAGCAGGGGCACATCTGGTTCTAATCCCCAGTATATCCTGGTGATAGCAGGTGCTTCAGTAAATATTTGTTGAATAGAATGAAGTTGAAAAATTTGTTGACTTATCTAATTTACCCATCATCCTGTGAGAGCTGATGAGCCATCCCAGCTTCCCCATAACCACAGCCCACGGATGGGAATGCCTCCAGAAGGAAAGAGCTCTGTTGCTGGAGCTATGAAGGAAGGGAGCACACTGAGGGGGCTGTGGCTGAGGAAATTCACTTAGTGGCCTTGAAGGCAGTATGGGACTAAGGCTGCTGCAGATAGAAGCTTTAGAAATCAGACACATCTCGGGTGCCTGGGTGGCTCAGGGGGTTAAAGCCTCTGCCTTCGGCTCAGGTCATGATACCAGAGTCCTGGGATCGAGCCCCGCATCAGGCTCTCTGCTCAGCAGGGAGCCTGCTTCCTCCTCCTCTCTCTCTCTGCCTGCTTCTCTGCCTAGTTGTGATTTATGTCTGTCAAATAAATAAATAAAATCTTAAAAAAAAAAAAGAAGTCAGACACATCTGGGTTTGAATCCCAACTCTGCCATTTACTCGCTGTGTGACCTTGAACAATTTATTGACTACTCTGAGCCTTAATGTCCTCATCTGTAAAACTGGAATCATAAGGCTTCAGAGAGTTCTTTCATCTACTCAAAAAATACTTGTTGGGCATCTGTGATGCCCTTGGTCCTGTGCTAGGCACAGGGGATATAATGCGAATAGGATCGACAAGGTTGCTATGGGGATTAAATAAGACTTGGCACATTGGTACTGTGCTTGGCACACAGTGAGTGCTCAATAAATGCCTCTATTAGTCTTATTCTCATTCTAGCCCTTGATTGCATTCAAGGGTGGGTCTGAAGATCTTGGGTTTGATCTAGATTCCTGGTGGAGTCAGACAGCTCAGGAACCAGAAAGTGCATGTGTTTGGATTTCTGCAAAGCAAGGGCATCAAAAATGAAAGCGGGGAGAAAAGTTCAGTTTTGAGGAGCTCATTCTGAATCTGGCAGCCAGAACATCTGTGAAGAAGCTAAGTTGGAGGTCATCGTGAAAACCGACATTTTATTTTAACTACATAAGGGTGGCAGGAGTGGGGGGGGGAGCCCTGTAACTGTGGTAGAGATCAGGACCCCTAAAGGCAATCATTGACCCTGATTCCTGGGGCAGCCCCCCTCCCCAGCCTTATGAGTTGTTTCACAGGGAGGAGGGCAGCCAGGAGTTCCCATACTCACTGCGGCTGCACAGCCACGGCCGCTCGGGCGTGGACGTGTAGTGGTAGCCAGCTCGGTCCACGCACTCAATGCTCTGGTCCCCGTAGATGATCTGGAAGACCTGACAGATGAGGGCACAGGACTCCTCGGCAGCATCCTGGCCCAGGGAGGAAGACAGAGTGCTCAGGACCTCTCCAGCGGCCAGGGTACCCCTACCCCCTTTCACAGTGTCAGGAGGCTTGTGGGGCCATACACGCACCTATGGGCACTTTGGAGGGCATTCCCTATCAAAATTATATGGCCATCCTCTGAGTTTTGGACTCCTTTATAGAGTCCAGCAGCAACTCTAAGTCTTCTGCTCTGAAAAATGCACCCCATATTTCTAGGGGATTCATAGGACCTCCTGAAGTTTATCTAAAATAAGCCCTAGGAGCACCTGGCTGGCTCATTGGGTTAAGCATCCAACTCTTGATTCAGCTCAGTTCTCTTATCTCACAGTCATGAGTTCAAGCCCCACACTGGGCTCCATACTGGGCATGGAGCCTACTTAAAAAATAAAGTAAAATAAAATAAGCCCCAGTTTAGTTAAATTTGCCAGTAGGAAGTTGAGGCTCAGAGAAGTGAAGTCATTAGCCAGGACTAGAACCCAGGACTCCTGATACATACTAGGAGGAGGAAGAATTACATGTATAAAAATTTTAGGCTCAACATAGTTACTACTACTGGATGCCATATTTAGGTATGAGCTTCCTGGCACTCAGGGCAAAAATGGAAGTAGGATAAATACATAAACTTCAGTCTCTGATAGGAGGCAGGAATTTCAATTCTTGGGTGAAAGTTTCTCAAGACTGCAAATTTGAAGAAGAATTTGCCTTTCTAATTTACCTCTTTATGTCTTTAAGCAAGAGACCCAGAAAGACAATCACCGATGAGACCATCTTCAGGTACCACTTCCTATTTTGTGCCTCTAGAAAGCTCAGGGTATGGATTAAAATGTAACCCAGGAGAGGCAGGATTGATCCTTACAATAACCCTATGAAACAGACACAAGATCCTTCTGTTACAGTTAAAGTCACTGAGGCTTAGAGCGGTCAGGTGACTCACCCAGCTCACACAGCAAGTTCTTAGCATTGGTTATTATTGGCACTCGGTTTTTTTTTTCTTTTTTAAAGATTTTTATTTGACAGAGCATGAGAGAGAGAGAGAGAGAGAGAGAGAGAGAGTTAGAGAGTGCATAAGCAGGGAGAGCAGCAGAGGGTGATGGAGAAGCAGTCTCCCTGCTGAGCAAGGAGCATGATGTGGGACTCAATCCCAGGACCCTGGGATCATGACCTGAGCCAAAGGCAGACACTTAACCGACAGAGCCACCCAGATACCCCAGCACTCGGTTTTTGTTTTTGTTTTTAAGATTTTATTTAGTCATTTGACAGACAGAGATCACAAGTAGGCAGAGAGGCAGGCAGAGAGAGAGGGGAAAGCAGGCTCCCCACCAAGCAGAGAGCCCGATGTGGGGCTCGATCCCAGGACCCTGAGATCATGACCTGAGCCAAAGGCAGAGGCCCAACCCACTGAGCCACCCAGGTGCCGCACCAGCACTCAGGTTTTTTGTTTTTTTTTACTCTAACTCCTATGCCCTCCATTGGACCAAGGCCTTGGAGAGGAGGTCAGAGAATCAGATACTCCTGAAAAACAACTCTTTATTTACTCATTTTGCAAATTCTCATTTAGTCCCATTTTAGGCACTGGGCCAGACTCTAGGGTCTCAGGGTGAATTAGATGAGGTCTGTACCCTAAAGCCCTCACAGTGCAGTGAGATTAACAGGGCACACACTGTTCCTTCTGCCCAGAATTCATTTTCCTGCCAATTTGCCTTGCTCACTGCTTCCTCCCCTTCACATTTCAGTTTAAAAGGCACAAACTCACTTTCTCTTTGGAAAGTGGATCTCCTTTCTCATTATCACTGCAATCTGCTTGTTTTCTTCTTGGTCCCCACCCCAAGGTATAGTAATATAATCCCTATCTCTTCGTCCATTCATTCAATATTTATCATGTGCCAGCCACTGTTTTAGGGGTCAGAGATAACAGAGTGAACGATCCAGAATGCACAGGTCTTTTGCACTCTACAAGGAGACCAGTCTGGCTAGAGTGAAATGCATAAAGGGGGACCTAGAAAGAGGAGTCCAGAGAGGAAATGGGCTTCAGCCACCACCATAAGGTGGGTGGAGGGTGGACTTATAAGCAATTGTAAGGACATCAGCTCTTACTCTGAGTGAGATGGGGAGCCACAGGAAGATTTTGAGCAGTGATATGTTGTGACTTACATGTTAACAGAACTGCTCTGATTGTGTGTGTTGGTGGGGGGATGGGAGACAGATTATAAGCAAGAGCCAAACCCGTGATCTAGATGCATGACCCGAATGATAGAAAATGGGGTGCGGACCTGGGGGTTGGCGAGAAGTAGATAGGTTGGGTTATATTTTAAAAATAGGGCCAACAGGATTTATTGACAGAATGGATGTGTGTTGTGTGAGAGCAAGAGGAGCCACAAGTCACTGCCAAATTTTGATCTGAATGAGGCAAGGACAGAGCTGCCGTTAATCAAGACAGGGAGACAAAGGGAGGCGCAGGTTTGGGGGAGAAGACTGGGCTCTTAGCCTCAGATGTGTTGGGACATTGAGATGGTCATTAGCCCACCGAATGGAGAGGCCAATTGAAGAAAGGAGTCTGGAGATTTGCTGAGAGATAAAATTTGGGGCATTCTCAGTGTTTTAAACACCATGAGATTATTGTTCACTAGGGTAGGTATGGGGTTGGGGGAGGGGTTGGGGGCCCTGGGTTAGAGGAGAAGCTTAGACAGCTCAGGACTTGAAGGTCTCTCTAGATTGTGAGCTCCCTAAGGGAGGGCCCCAAATATTTCTTGTTCAGCTCTGCGTCCATAGCACTTAGCCCAATGCCTAGGACAAAGCTGGTGCTCAATAAAGATGGTCAAAGGAATAGAAGCAAGGGTGAATATAGAGAATGGAGGGAGGGGAGGAGAGGCAAGAATGGAAGGCTTCTGCCTTGAATGACTGCCATAGTTAACAAGAGTACAGGCTCTGAACATCCTGGGTCCCAGTTTCCTGTGTGACCTTCCGCAAGTTACTTAGTCTCTGGGTGTCAGTTTCCTCCTCTATAGAATGAGGATGGTTGTGATGTTTGCCTCTAGGGGTTAGTGAGAGAGTGAAATGTGTTCGTGCTGGTTCCTTGTCTGGCACAGGTTGGCATTCCATTCGTGCTGGTAATGAGTGTCCTCGTGATTGTTACTGTGGTTGTGCCGAAATCGACGACATGGGAGAAGGAGCAGGGCTGGAAAGGGGGTTAGATCAAGTCTGTTTGGGCTGTTTTGAGTTTTCATCCCATTGGGATGGCAAGGGGAGGCGTCCAGGCTGCAGATTTAGAAACCCTTTGGCGTCTGGAGTGCACAGGTAGAACCTGAAGTCCTAGGTAGGGCCTCGGGAGGAAGAAGGGAAGAGGCCAGGGTAGACCCCAGGAACGGGGCGGGGTGGGGTGGAGGACGACGCCCTCCAAATCCCCTCGACGCGCGGGGGAGGCAGGGCGCAGGGGCTCCGGGTGCCCTCGGGCTCACCCTGTTGGCCACGGCCAGGATGACAAGGTTGCAGTAGGCGTCGGGGCTGGGATCCTGCGGGTCGAGAGGGTTGGAGCCCGGGTGGCGCCGCTCCCAGCTGCCGCCGCCGCCGCCCGCCTGCCTCCGCTCCCAGCTGCCGCCCGGCTTGCCCGCGCCGCCGCCGCCGCCGGCGTGCCGCCGCTCCCAGCTGCCGCTGAACGTCTGCCGCCGCTCCCAGCTGCCCGACGCCCGCGCCCCGGCGCGCTGGCGCTCCAGGCTGCCGCCGCCGCCGCCCCCGGCCCGGGCCTCCGCGCTCGCACCCCCGCCCCACGCCATCCGCCAGTCCAGGCTGCAGATGGTGTGGCGCCGCTCCGTGGTGCCCCCCCCGCCGCTTCTCGGGCGCCGCGCCCGGCTGGCCCGGGTCGCGCCCCGCGCCTCCGGGGCTGGCGTCTACGCCTGCTGGCACCGGGTCCACGCCCAGACCTAGGAGGGGCGGGACCGCGGTCAGGAGATCCCAGCTAAGAGCCCCCTCCCGAGACCCGCTGGGGACCAGCGGCGCCTGGCCCTCGAGGCCAGATTCGCCCCCCGAGGTCCCTTACTTTTGGGGCCCGCCCCCGGCCTCGGCTCCACCCTAGTCTTCCTAGCGGTCTGACGGGTCCCACAGCTCTCCCAGCCGGGAGCTCCGCCTCCCCGGCATGCGGCCACGCCCCCAGTTCAGACTCCGCCCCCCTCCCGAGCTCCCAGCGCGCGGCTGCCTGGCTCTGCTTCACCACGCGCTCTAACTTTAGGTTCCAGAATTTGGGCTCTTCCAGCCTTAGGCCGGTGGATCAGGCGGTCCACCCTTCAACCTCAACCTCAACCTGGGGCCGCGTCTTCTTGCGTATGGCCATGGCCTGCCTTAATCTCAGGGTAGTGTAGTCAGTCCTTTTCCATCACACACCATCCACCCTCCGCAGCCCACCCCTCCCCACTCCGGGTCACGCCTTTCCCAAAACTAGACGCTGGTTTTTTTCTCTCCGGGTTCACCTCCCGGCCCCGCCCCACTCGCTGTACCGGTCTTAAGCACCAGCAGGTGCAGCGCGTCGTCCTGCAGGTAGGAGGCGGCTGCGATCTCATGCGTGGGGATGCGCAGGATTAGCTCCTCGTTGTCGCGCCAGGTGAGCAGCAGGCAGCGGGCCGACAGGCTCAAGATACTGTCCTGCTCCGCCGTGGTCTTCAGCGGCAGCTCCTTCAACTGCTGCAGGGTGGGTCGGATCTTTTGGGTTCCGGAGGGGCTCGGGTGGGAGAGGAAGAAGGGGACAAGACCCAGCCCTAACCCTCCCCAGGGCCTCACCCTGGCCGTGTCCAGTAGCTGCAGGAGCTCGTCGCGGCTGGAGGGGTTCAGTGAGGAGGTAACCCAGGTGAGGTGGCCCAGGAACTGGACAGAACATGGGAGGTAGAGGTGGGAGAAGGGCACAGAGAGGTCACCTTGAAGCCTGGAATAACCTAGAACTCCTCATTGACCCAGTGTATATAGACTGAGGTAGAACTATTTGAATTAATAATAACCTGATAATAACTACTAAGGTGGACACAGAAGCCAGACCCCCCAAAATGATGCCCTAAACCAACACAATAATTCTTTATTCTCAGTTATAACTTAATGTCATCACAAACTTTAATGTTATTCAATGTAAGAAATTAACTCTTTTTTTATTTTTAGCTTTGTTCTTCTAGGTGAATTCTACCAATCAAGCTTTTTTCTTCTTTTCTTCTCTATGAAATTTCAGTCCCCAATTTTTAAGTAGATTTATTGGTTAGCTCTACCCTCCACATATGGTTGCCAGGTGAGATACAAGATGCCTGTTAAATTTGAATGTCACATAGACCGTGAATACTTTTTAAGTTTTTTAAAAAGTATTCTTAGTCCCATGCAATATTTGGGACATATTAATACTAAACAAGTACTCACTGCTTTTCTGAAATCCACATTTAACCTGGCAGCCCGTTTTTGCCAAATCTAACCCTCCTACTCCCATACCAATCTTCCCTGGATAATGAGGATTCTCCACTGGTGTTCATGAAATAGTAGTAAAACCCTTGCATGACCTCAGTCCCCTCTGGCTTGCTGAACTGGGTTCCTTTAACAAGTTCATCAACTGTCGGTAAAATCTTACAGGAAGCTATGGCTTTGCCCATCTCTCTCCCCTCTGTTGAAATGGAGACACTGAGGCTGAGCAGGTGGAGGTCATTTGCTTAAGGTCCTCAGCATAAAGCAGGAGCTAGGCTGGCGTGAACCCAGCTCTCTTTTCCCTGAGCCTCCCCTATGTGAGACAGGGCTGGTCAGGGCTTGGTGTGAGGGAGAGAGGTACAGTCCCTCCTGATGGGATCCAGAACACGCTACACCAAAATCTGGCATCTTGGCATATGGAATATCTTTTTCTTAAATAAAGAGTAATTTTAATAGTGATAATAACAAAAAAATATGGAATATCTTAAGCTTGAAGGAACTGAAGAAAATGGTAGAAGTGGGAAGTTACTCTGAACTTCCCCCACCCCTCTTTCCTGAAAGGAGGAGATAATCTCCCACCTGAAACGTCCCCTCCCTGTTCCTGGAGGGAGACCTCCTTCTCACCAGACATAGGGAATTTAGGGCCGAGAAAGCTGTATAAACAAACCTTGTTATTTCTTCACCTTTTACTCCCCAAGCCCAAACCCCTCTGCTTTGTCAGTTTTTCATAAGTTTATTGTCAAGAAGATATAAAAGCTTCCTGTTCTGGTCACTTCTTTGGGTCTTCATTCTCTTGTGAAGGCTCTTCACGGACATGTAAACATTTAATAAAATGTGCACGCTTTTCTCCTGTTCATCTGTGTTTGTTGGCTTCATTTTCAGACCCAGCCAGGGACCCTAAGAGAGTTGATGAAAACCTTACCCCTCCTTTACTCCTCACCCCAAGAGTCTGCGTGCCCTTCTCCTCATCCCACACGTACCTTGACCTCTTTCTCCAGGTAGTCACACAGCAGAATCTGAGGGTCGATGAGATAGTCAGGGGGGTAAAGGGGCATCGAGTGCAGGGGCCGGCGACTCACACTGGTCCGAAAGGCAGCCCGGCGCGCAGACTTGGGGAACACCAGCCTCCGGATGGGGGATACAAAGCCCTGGGAATGGGGGTGGGGGGGTGGGGGACAGGGAGTTGTGGGGGAAAACAACAGTAACAACTGCAACTGACTTTCTCCGAACACTTCCCCATTGGACATTTGACTTCTTTACATAGTACCTAATTTAATTCTCATAGACTCTGCAGAAGCGGTACCTTTGTGATCCCCATTTTACAGATGGAGAAACTAAGCCTCAGAGAGGGAACTAGCTGATAAGGTCACCAGGTAGTGGTGGTAGAATCATGAGAGCAGTCTGGCTCTAAAACCTCCATTCTAAACACCCAGGGGAGCGTGGAGGGCCTACTAAGGCCCAGGCCCAGGCTGAAGGTGTGGGTCTAGGCTGGGACACTAAGAAAAATATTAAGATTCAATGTGGCTGAGTGGTGAGTGCATAGATATTTGTCACGCTATTCTGTGTGCTTTCCGCCAAATTAAAAATGGCTAATAAGTACATTTCAGGAGAATCCACAGATACCTGCATAAAAAATGACCCACAGCAAGGCTCAAGAAGCCAGTTCTGGGCTCCAGCACAGCCCAACGGAATCTACATCTCACAGTCAAGAGTGAGCCCCTCTTTAGAGCAGTTCTCAGTAAGTGTGGGTCCTGGGTCAGCCTCAGCAGCACCAAATGCACATTCTCTCATTCTATCCTAGATCTACTGGATCAGAGCTTGGGGGTGAGACCCAATGATCTATGTTTTAACAAGAGCTGCAGGTGATTCTGATACAGGCCCAGCTCGTATCTTAAAACCAGGATCTTGGAGCCTAGATGAAGTATCTGGACGTTCTGAGAAATGAGAACCAATGATCTGGGAAAGGGCGTTCCAGGCGGAGGGCTTAGCATGTGTAAACCCCGGGGCTGGCTGAGTGTGAGCCTGGAGATGTGTGAGGTCTATTGCGGCTGAATGATGAGATGAATGAACCCTTTAGACCAGCCTGATCTGGGTTTCTTGGAAGAAGAGGGCTGGGTGGGTGTGGGAGTTGGAATCTAAGGGACCCCCTGAATGGCAAAGACAGCCAGGTGAGGCGCCCAGGGAACCAGACTAGAAAACTTCTGACAGTAAGGAGGGGTGAGGATCTAGGGGGTGAAGGGGAGGACCCTCAGACTGAGGCTTTCAGAACAGAGCTGTCCTGACATAAAGAGGGGGAGGGGGCAGGCTAGGCTGGAACCCAGCAGGGGAGCAGGTAGGTGTCTCCACCTTGATAGCCAGTCTTGTAGCACAGAATTGCTCTGGCTGAGGTCCTTCTGTTTGGGGAGGTGAGGAGCAGAGGAATGGGTCTGTTGGGTGTTTGTTGGGCTCTCGGTCTGAGGAAACCCCAGGAAAGCCCTGGAAGCAGGTTGGGAGTATCTCCCAGCAATCTGTCTGGCTGGGTTTCCTTGGAAGGTATCTGTCTGTCTGTCTGTTCCAGGGAGGGCAGGCGCCACTTGAGAGTAGGGGAGACAGGTTAGGGAGCTTGAGCCCAAAAGTCTGACCGCCCAAGGGTTGGAAGGACAGTCTTTTCAGATGAGAAGAAAGACTCTACCCATGCCGGTCCCTGCCCACTACCCCCACCCCAGGCCTCCCACTTTACCAGCTCCAGGGGCATTTCTCTACCTGCATCCCTCCCAAACTCCCACCTACCTTTTTCCCTTTCTTGACTTCATATTCCATGGCGAAGCGTCCCCTCCGTTCTTGCCACCCTCCTGACCATCCCCTCCACCTCCCCCCGCCCCCATGCAGTTCCTTTGTTCTTTTTCCTGCCTGGTCGGAAACTCCACCAGCCCCGGAGTTCCTGCCCCTCCTGTCTGATAGTGAGCAGAGGTGGGGGGCCGGAGGCAGTGGGTGGAGGACTCAGGCTTGGGCCCCTCCAGCTGAAGAGTGGAAGGAAGCCCAGCCAGAGCAACTGACCAGGGAGAATGCCTCCAGCCTCCCTCCAGAAGGTTTGCTGTTGAGGGGGCTTGGGAATCCAGTAAGGCTAGGGAAGAGTCCCCCAATTTGGAGTCCGAGAATCCCAAATTCCAACCCTACTTCTGCCACTGACCTTGTTGTGTGACCTTGGCAAGGCAAGGCAGTTCCCTCTTGTACCGTCTTGGTTGCCCTCTCCTCTCTATGAGGTAGAAATAAACATTGCCTCCCTCTCTGGCTGCTGCGGTAAGAGATAAATGCACGAGTGGAGAGGGAAATGCTTCCTAAATTATGGAATACTGTGTCCAGGCAAGTTATGATTTTAAATATTATTCATTACCATTAAGGACAGCAGTATACATGGGCTTTGAGGATAGGCTGCCTGAGTTTGAATCCTGATTTTGTCACTTACTAGGGTGATGACCTTGGGCAAGTCCCTTATCCACTTGTTTCCCCATCTATAAAATGGGCATAATAGCAGTCTGACCTCATGGTGATCTTGTAAGGATTAAATGCACTTGGAAGAGCTCCTGACACACATGAAATGTTCAGTAAATATTAACTATTTAGCTATCTATGTGTCCTTGTGGCCTGGGCTGTTTTACTGTCTCTTGGGAGAATATTAGCAAGGCAAGTTTCTCTTTGTATGCTGAGCACTTTACATACATGCATACTTTACATACTTCATCTCTCCTATTTCTTACAATATTGGGGTATCCTTATACCTATTATATAGATTGAAAAATCAGGCTCAACTGCAGAGGCTGACCCAAAAAAAGTTATCAAGTTTATAAGAGGGAGACCCGGGATTTCTGGTCAGTCTGAATCTGAAGCCTGGTTCCCTACCTCTAGGGCCAGCGTGCTCAGCAGGTCCCACCCAGGACAGTTGAGAAGTTTCCGACTGACCCATCCATGCCTTGCCATGTCACATGGGTTCTGGAAGCCCCAGTTCTGGACTGATTTGCTGTATGATCTAGGGCAGTTTGCTTATTTTAACCTCTCTGGGCCTCAACTTCCTCATCTTTCCAATGACAACAATGATCCCAGATGCCCTGCCCTTTAGTCAGAGGTGTGGTGAGAAAGATACCGGACTGTGGATGAGAAAGCAGTTGGGAATCGTGAAGTGCAGGGGCCCATGCACTCGATTGTTTTGAAAGTTTCTTCTGGGGGTGCCTGGGTGGCTCAGTGTGTTAAAGCCTTTGCCTTCGGCTCAGGTTGTGATCCCAGGGTTCTGGGATTGAGCCCGCATCGGGCTCTCTGCTCAGCAGAGTGCCTGCTTCCTCCTCTCTCTGCCTGCCTCTCTGCCTACTTGTGATCTGTCAAAAAAAAAAAAAAAAATCTTAAACAAATATTTAAAAAAAAAGAAAGTTTCTTCTGGGGTCGCATGGGTAGCTCAGTCATTAAGCATCTGCCTTCGGCTTAGGTCATGATCCCAGTGTCCTGGGATGGAGCCCCACATCTGGCTCCCTGCTCTGCAGGAGGCTGGCTTCTCCCTCTTCCACTCCCCCTGCTTTGTTCCCTTCTTGCTGTGTCTCTCTCTGTCAAATAAATAAATAAAATATTTTTTTTAAAAAAGAAAGTTTCTTCTGAAAGCGTAAGTGTACAGAAAGAAGGAAGGAAGAAAGAAATAAAAGAAGGAAGAAAGAGAATGAATGAAAGAAAGAAAGAAAGAGAAAGAAGCACAATTGTGCCAATTCAGTGCCCATTGGAGTGAGAAAGAGCTCCCCACTACCTCTGGGAGTGGGGGGCACTGGAACCTCCAACCACTTGCCTCCCCCCACTTGCCTTCCCCCCTCCCTCCCTCTGGGGGAGGGGAAATGATCCAAGCTGCTTAGTGCTAGCTCACAGAGTCTCTCCCTCCCGCTCCCCTGTATCCGGCTGGCTGTCCTGTCCCAGCAGCAGGAAGTGAGCTCTCCACAGGAAGAGGCCAGGATGTGCAACCCAATTCCTGACTGCTCCAGACACCAATACTCCCACTTAACTCCTTGAGCAAATGCCAAATTCCTCAGTGTCCCTATCTGTAAAACAAGGACTTCTGGTGTCACCGGAATGCTGGGAATATCAAATAGGACAAGAAGCATTCTGAATGCTGCTAGAAATAGCAAACTCTCTTTGCATAGCCTGCGATGCCCATGCCAGGGCCACGAACAGGTCAAGCGCTTAGTAAATGTCCGTGGAAGTTGGCAGAGACAGGTGGACCTAGGTTCAAACGTGTATGACCTTGAACAGGTGATTTCTCGGAGCCCCAGAGTTTCATGTGTCAAAAGCAAAATGATGATGATGTGCTTGTCTCATAAGGCTGCTGCAGGGATTAAATGGGAATAGAAGCATATATGATAGGAACATTGATGATTACAATTGGCTTGTGAGGATAAAGAAGAAGTTGTATATATGTGTATGTACATATGTATACACACAGACACACACAGTGGAATATTACTCAGCCATAATAAATGAACAAAATCTTGCTGTTCGCAACAATGTGGGTGGAACTAGAGGGTATTGTGCTAAGTGAAGTAAGTTAGAGAAAAACAAATACCATATGATGTCACTCATGTGGAATTTCAGAAACGAAAGAGATGAACATAGGGGAAAGGAAAAAAGAGAGGGAGGCAAACCATAAGAGACTCCTTTCTTTTAAAGATTTATTTGTTCAAGGGGCGCCTGGGCAGCTCAATTGGTTAAGCATCTGCCTTCAGCTCAGGACATGATCCCAGGGTCCTGAGATCGAGACCCAGATCAGGCTCCCTGCTCGGTGGGAATCCTGCTTCTCCCTTTCCCACTCCTCTTAATTGTGTTTCCACACTCGTTGTCCCTCTCTCTGTCAAACAATTATATAAAAATCTTTAAAAAAAAAGATTTATTTGAGAGAGCGTGGGCACGTGAGTGCGCATGCACGAGTGGGGGACGGGGCAGAGGGGGAGAGGGAGAATCCTGACTGGACTCCCCACGGAGTGTGGAGTCAGAGGAGGGGTTTAATCCCATAGCCCACAACCTTGCGATCATGGCCTGAGCTGAAATCCGGAGTCAGATGCCTCACTGACTGAGCCACACGGGCACTCCAAGAGACTCTTAACTATAGAGAACAAACTGAGGGTTGCTGAAGGGGAGGTGGGGGGGGATAGCCTAATGGTGGATGGGTATTAAGGAAGGCATTTGTGATGAGCACTGGGTGTTACACGTAAGTGACAAATCACTAAATTCTACTCCTGAAACTAATATTATAAATGTGTTAACTAAATAGAATTTGAATAAAAACTTGAAAAATTAAAAAAAATTAGGGGCACCTGGCTGTCTCAGTCGGGGGGGAGGTGTGACTCTTGATCTCCAGGTCGTGGGTTCGAGCCTCACGTTGGATGTGGAAATTACGTAAAAATAAAATCTTAAAAAACTAACTTTTGAATCGAAAAAGATGAGTAAAACAAAGTCCTTGCTCTCAAAGACTGAACAGTTGTGGCAAATAGGATTTCTTTCTTTGGAGCTTCCTTCAGCGGATTGGCAGGGGCTGCCTACAGCTCTATGTAGAAGATTATAAAAACCAGATCTACTCTCAGCAGGAAAAAGGGATTGAGTATCAATGTCTGCCATGGGACGGGAGGCGGGAATGTGGCAGCAGGTGGTCAGCATATATGCTGACCCCAATCAGGCTAGCGGGAAAGACACATAAGCAAAATCTTGGAGACAGGCCAAGCGACTTGTCTGGGGAAGGCAGAATCAGGAGCCATTCACCAAGCCCTGTTATATCCAAGCCAAGCCTTGAAGGACATTTGGAAGGAAGGTCACTGTAGACAGAGGACGCAGCCTGAGCAAACACACAGTGCCTGGGTTTGATGCTTTTGGCTGCAGAGATTAGACTGCCCAATCAAAGGGCTTTGAGAATAAGGAAAATACATTACCTCTCAAGACAAGAAGTCCAAAGGCAAATGATTTCAGGGCTGGCTAACTGAGCAGCCCAAAACGGCATCAAGTCCCATACATTTTTTTTTAAAAGATTTTATTTATTTATTTATTTGACAGAGATGGAGACAGATCATAAGTAGGCAGAGAGGCAGGCAGAGAGAGGGGGAGAAGTAGGCACCCTGCTGAGCAGAGAGCCCGATGTGGACCTTGATCCCAGGACCCTGAGATCATGACCTGGGCTGAAGGCAGAGGCTTAACCCACTGAGCCACCCAGACACCCAAGTCCCATACATTTTTTACTGTGCTGCTGTTATGGGCTGAATTATGCCCCCCGAATTTATAAGTTGAAACCCTAATACCTAGTACCTCAGAATGTGGCTGTTTTTGGAAATAAGGCCTTTAAAGTTGTAACTAAATTTAAATGAGACTGTCGAATGGGCTCTAATCTAATCTGACCGGTATCCTGAGAAGAGGAAATCTGAACACACAGAGAGGTACCAGGGGCACATACACACAGAGGAATGACCACGCAAGGACAGAGTGAGAAGGCAGCCATCTACAAGCCAACGAGAGAAGCCTCAGGAGAAACCAACCCTGCGGACACCTTGATCTCAGCTTCTTGCCCCCAGAACAGTGAGAAAATACATTTCTGCTGTTTAAGTCCCCCGGGCTGTGGCATTTTGTTATGGGAGCCCTAACAAACTCATACAGTTGGCCAGATGCCTGCAGTGGCTTTTGGAATAATACAGACGTGATGTCATTCATCATTATCCTGCTTTTGACGCCATCAACCCTTGATGAGGCAGAAGGGTTTCCCCGTCTTGAGTGTCTTTTTATTGTGAAGGAATGCCTGTCCCACAGATGCT